AGATCCCAGCTTACAAGGAGTGTGCCCTCCAGAAGGTGAGAGAAGACACGTGCAAAGCATCTGTAGCATGAAAAGGAACAGCAGGTCTACTGACATGGAAAATCCTCCGAGAGGAGGAAGCATTTGCAGCCCAGCCTTGAAGCAGAAGTTGGATTTATATGTAACATCTGTCATTTTTTCCCCCAAGTCTCTAAGAAATAAGTGTTTATTGTAGAAAATAGGAAAATGTGGATGATGGTAACAGACACTTAAAGGGTTATTATCATGTGTGGGACACTGTTAAATCCTGTATATGGAAACATCTCATTTAACCCCACCCCCATGGGGGTGATTATTTTGTGCACTCCCGGTGCAAGAAAAGGAAGGATAAAGGAGATTGAGTGAACACTGGGTCCATCATCAGAATACTGACAGATGCAGTCCTGGAACCCAAGTGGACCTGGTGCCATCAGAAGAAAATAAACCCGCAATAAGCCCTGTTGCTTCCCAGCCTCTCTTTTCCCTATGCACAAGGCTTGTCCAGGGTGCTCTTGCTGCTTGCACTCTGCTGAGTGGTCGTCACTCAAGCATTATCAGCACACAGATGGTAACTGAAGGCACAGGAGTGGATGAGCTCACAGGGAAATATGCAGAGAAGAGAAAAGGTCCTGGGAACAAACCCTGAGCTACAGAGATGGAGACACCTTCCCAGGTGTCTACAGGACTGGGCTGGGTGAAGAGCAGGCAGCATTGAGAAAAACTTCACAGGGGTTGATAATCTTGGAGGTGAATCATAGAGATGAGAAATTCGCCAAGAGGAAAAGAGGAAGACAAGTGTCCTGAGCAAAGGGAACAATATCTGCAAAGGCATATAAGATACAAGGACAACATGGTGACATGGAAAACCAGCAAGTGATTTCAGGATAGCTAGAGCACAGGGTGTGTGTGTGTGTGTGTGTGTGTGTGTTCATTCATGGGTGTGCAGGTACCTGTGTAGGTCTGTGAGTATATCCGAGTGTCTGTGTTTATTAACAGGTGTGCATGTGTCTGTGTAGTGTGTGAATATATCTGTGTCTGTGTGTCTATGTGATGATGGAGAGCTACAAAGGAAGGCAAGGTTCAGATCATAAGACCATCAGTATTAGATGGGTTTCCAGATATATATCACATCCTATTGGTTCTGGTTCTCTGGAAAAACAAAAAAAATACAGTTTTATTATGAGTAATTTGCTCGTGGTAGTATAGAGGCTGAGAAGTCCCCTAATTTGACGTTTGCAAGCTGGAGATCCAGAAAAGCTGGTGGTGTCATTTAGTTCAAGCCTGAACATCTGAGAATCAGGGGAGCAGATGATGTCAATTCCAATCTAAGGGCTGGAGATGAGACAAGATGTCCCAGCTGCATCGGTGCTGGGAAAAACTACGTGGGGGAGGGCAATCTACTGAGTCCACAGGTTCAAATGCTAACTCTTACGGAAAGACCCTCAGAGACATATCCAGAAACCATGTTTACTAGTAGAAGGCCCACTCAAATTAACACATAAAATTAACCATCATAATCCCTTCTGAAAGGCTTGGAATATTACAGAAAGCGAGTCTGGGAACAGAGTAAAGAGATCAGTGAAGGTCAGCTAATCAGTACAAACTTGATTTATCTAGAGCAGTGGTTCTCAACCTTGGCTGCACATTAGAATCACCTGGGAATCTTTTTAAAATCCTGATGTCTGGGCCTCATCCTCCAGAAATTCTGTTTCTTTGTTATGGGGTGAGGCCACAACATTAGTCACAAAGAAACAGAATATCCGGAGGATGAGGCCCAGACATCAGGATTTTAAAAAGATTCCCAGGTGATTCTAATGTGCAGCCAAGGTTGAGAACCACTGATCTAGAGGGCAAGGGGGAGCCTTTTAAGTTGTTCTTGAGAGGAATTACAAGATCAGAACTGTGCTTTTGGAAGATTCTTGGGCTGGATGGTTTAGGGAAAGGAGGCAAGAGAGAAGGAAACCAGTTGGTAGAATATAATAGTCAAAGTGAGAGATGATGAGATATAGATTTGGATGGTAGCTACAGGGTGAGGGTGGTTCATTGATGCAAAGGAAGAGGTGATGGTGGATTTGGGTTGACAAATTTGAGAAACATCAGACAATCTACTGGGTTATCTGGGAAAGTCTACTGTTGAACCATCAAACCCACAGTTCAAAAGTGTGTCCTTCCTTCATCCACCCACTTACAACACATATTTACTGAGGGCTTATGCATGGGGATCCCCTAGTCCAATGTGCAAGTTAGAAATCTTATCAAACTGAAACAACCATTGTTACAAGGGCCCAGAAACCAATAGCCTCAGGAGTCATGAGGTGTGTGTGTGTGGGGGGGGGGGCGCGTCAATCCAAGCACCCAAGCCAGCATTGAAGGATCTGGGCTACCTTGCTACAGGAGGGGACTTCTACGCTGAAAATTCTAGCCAGCCAGAGGAAGAGGGTGTCCTATCCCAGGAGGATGTTGTGTGGGAGCTGGGAGTACCCAGGGGAAGAAGATATGGTTCTGGCCTGGTGGGTGGAGACAAACAAGACGATGCCATTTGACATACATGCAGCCAAGTCACGCATATACGTTGTATCTTTCTTTAGTCAAACAGTAAACTCCCCTCGGTGCAAATCTACCTTTTTTAAGGCTGAACTGCCTGGAACCATACCCACCAGGACAGCAAAGTGGGACATGAGCCTTCCCTCCCCCCCTCCCCCACTCCAGGGTTTGAAGGATGGGCGCAGGGTCTTCTTGGCTACTGAAAGGTACCTAGTTCATGTGCCCTGGTGGCAGGTGGCTACAGTCCAGAGATTCGGCCTTCCTGTGGTCTCATCTCTCTGGCCCCTCAGCTCGCCTGGTTTCTTATTTCCACTGGGGCAAACGGGCTGAAAGAGGGCCGCCTTCATTGGTTTGGGTACCCGAAGGTGAGGGAGAGTAGAGAGGCAGGAAAAAAAAGTGCTTAGTGTAGTAAAGAAAAAAGGAAGTGAAATCCGAAACGCGGCGGCAGGCCCAGCGACCCCAGGCAGACACTGTATGAACAGCCAAGAGGAGCACCTCGGTGAGGGCGGAATCACCTGCCCAACCTACCACCTTCCCGATCTGGTACCAAAGCTGGGAGTCTGAGGGGCAGGGACAGCAGCAGGGACTTCTGCGTCCCTACGCTCTCACAGGCCCCCCAATTCTCAGGCGGCTGCTCCCCGCTTCCTGTAGCCTTGATTACAGCCAGGGGGCGTGTGTGAGGGGCGGGGATGCGTGGAGCTGAAGAATTAAAAAAAAAGAAAGGCGAGGTAATTAGCATCCTCTGATACCATTGGCTCTCCTCGGGTCCTGCTTTACATACGCCCGCCCCGCAGGCTGCCCGGGGTTTGCGGGATTTGGCCAGGGTGCCCGGAGCCCGGAGCTGGGAGCCCAGAGCTGGGAGCCAGCTGCCGCCGGAGCTGCTTCTGCGGCGGCGGCATCCGAGTTGATTTCCGTCTTACGAACACTGAGTCGGCGCCCGGCGGCTTGTGCACCCGGCCGGGCCCAGGAAGGAGAAGGTCAGATACTTTTTTATTTTATTTTGGAAGGAAGGGTCGAGTCCCGGTGGCCCGCTCCTCGGTGCACCCAGCTCCGGCCCGGACTCTGGAAGATGACTCCGGGGTCTGCCGGGTGCATTCCAGCGGCGGCGGCTCGGAGAGGCGGCGGAAAGTAGTAGCGCTTGGGAGTAGCGGCTGGTGGAAAAGTGAGCAGAGCGGGAGCGGAG